AAAAAGGGTATGTGTCGAAGATAAATCACTATTATATGCCAATGAGCAATTATGCAAGTTAGATGATGATGTCATCTGGCGACTTCTAGGACAGCCACTTGGTACTCTGCTAACTGAGGAGTTTGCAACAGTACTCACACACACTTTGGTTTTAACTGCCATCAAGTAAATGCTTTACAGTAATACACTGTAAACTAAATAATCTAAGTCTTAAAAAAAGACAAGGACAAATGTGTATCTCAGGCTACTTTTTATATACAAACAGCTCATTTAGAGTTGTTTCTATGTGCAAAGCACTCATGCAGTTTATTCTAATGTATCATTTATTTCATCATATTTAACAAAGTTGGAAGAGCCTGATGTTACCTTACACATAAATGATTCACGGTGTCATCTTCGCAGAGAGGAACACACGTTATTAATTTAATATGGGTATCTATTTAGTATTCAGTGCCGTAATACCCCAAATAAAGATATCAGTACTTCTGCCCCTGTTGTGCCATGCAAGATCAGCATTTGTGTACACCAATCTACAAAACCGAGTGGTGGGGGTTTGTTTGCCCTGAGCACAGGCTCACAGTGGCTTACAGTGGCTTACTCTCGTCAGCCCAGCCTTGCTCATCTCTTCTTGGCGTGAACTGAAGTATTAAGCCCCACAAGGTTTATTCTCTTAATAATGTCTCACCATTTTCTTGAGATGGATGGTTATGACGACCTAAGGGAGAAAAAGCTTTTAAAGGGCTTGTTTGTGCCACTAGCCTGTGTGTCACAAGATGTCCCAGCATGCTTTGCACAGAGAGTAAATTAAGCCCAGATCAGAACACAATCTGTGAGGGCAGATTCACTCAGTGTAGAGCATGCAGAGAAGGCGGTGAGATGCAGAATCTATTGATGCAGTGTGGCAGGTGTTTAAAATCTGTCTTACGTGTCACAAATGTCTCTAAAGGCCTGTCCAACTGTAGCTCAGGATGGGATGCATGTTTTAGCTCTGCTGTGAGGAGATTTTACTGGTGAAGCAACAGACTAGATTAATATTAATGACTTCATGTGACCTACAAAAGCAAACAAGACCGTGAGTGACAAGATTGATTATTTCTACACTGTAATTATTAATCTTTTAAGCTGCTGCCTCGGGATAGTTGTCAGACAAAGTGACAAGCAATATGCAGCTAAAGCAGCCTCTTTTATTACAATTTTCACAGAGAGGTTTCTCATCATGTGACAGTGACAATTAAAAGAAAGCTAAATGAGATTGTAGGTCAAAAGTGACACTTGTGCTGGACTAAATCTAAAAAAAAACTTTATATTCAGGGGGCACCATGATCAACACAAAATTTCCTGACAGGAGCTTTAAAGTCTCAGAGTGTGATATTCAGTTTGATCCAAAAGGCCATCACTGACATGGTACTGGCTTTGGTAAGAAGGGATTGGGTCCTTCTTCAGATCGCCAGAAAGCACAGACAAGAGTTTCAGAAAAAAAAACATAACGTCTCTCTGGAAATGCAGTCCCTTGCATTTCACGATGTCAATGGTGTCATTCAGGGTTAGTTTCTGTCATCTTGTCATGCTCCACCCTGACGAATTTCAGCTGTCTTGAATGAGGATAAAAACCTCACCACCCTTTTGTGGCAAACTATTTGTTCCATTTGCTCCATGCTGCCGTCATTTTCAGACGGATAGGAAGATAAAGGATATCATGTTTACCAGACTCTGCCGTAAATGATTAAATCAGTTTTCATCTGATAAAACTATTTGCTTTTTTCCTCGACAGTTCGGCCTTTTCAATTGGCTTGGTTAGAAATTCTACAATACAAACAAAGAAAAAAGATGAGACCAGGACGTGACTTTCTTCAGGAACGCTAACCTCAAAATCTCAAAATCAGTGTGAATCAGTTTTTGGCCAAGCCCTGTTCAGAACCAAAACCCAGGGACCTTGGAAAGGCCTCAATGGGTGATGTTCAGTGAAGCTTTCTGCCGTCTCAGCTGCTTGTTTACAGTCCATGCAGTTTAAAAAAAGTCACCTTCTCACCCTTTATTCAGTTTTACACCCAGTAACCTTAACCAAGAAGTTTTGTGCCAAACAGAACATTTGTCTTATCAATAATAGAACTTGTTGCTCCACCACAAAACACACCAGAGACACATTCCAGCATGTTGTCAATATCAGTTCAAAACAGGTGTGAGGGTTGACCTACTTATTTTTAATGATGGTAAAAAGATGACTTCACTCTTACCACTCCCTCCTCCCTCCTACCTCTCCTCATTCTTCTCTCCCTGCATCTCTCCATTACCCTTCTTCTCCATCTTTCTCTCTCTTTCTCTCTCCTGGGTCGGCATTCCCCATCTCTGCCCTCATCTCCCCTCCATCTCCTTTCACCCACTTCTTGCTGCCTCACCCATGCTTATTACAACAATTTTCTTACCCAATGCAGTGACTCTGCATTCTTTCTCCACCACTGTCTCACCCTCTCATTTATTTCTTGTTCGGACTTTTCCTCAAATTTAATAGTTTAATTAAATCTCCTTGTTTGTCTTGTTTATGACCACAATTGAGCAAAATATTGCTCAAGCATGCTCTTGAAAGTTCACTGTATAAATAAATTAACTCAGACTACAGGCAATTTTTCTTCTAAATTAGAGGTGGAGTTTGGCGTTATTCATCTTAGTGTAAGTGTATTTGTTTCACTGTAATGACTTTTATTTGGGTGGTCTTATAGTCGAAGTTTTGTGAGGATGAGGCAAACTCAAATTGGATTATGCATTTTATTATTTGATAAATTAAAGGTTTGGAATTTTGGAAGAAACAGAAATACACAAACACACCAAAACTTTCTCCACACTTACTGGATCTGCCCTCCAGTGGTTTGTGTCCACCCTCCCACAGAGATCTTTCAGAGAGAGGTCCCTCAAGGGTCAGTGCTTGTTGCTCTCCTTCTCTCAATATACTTTATGTCACTCACATTACATACACATACATTATGCAGTTTCCTGATCTCATGGTTTCTCATACCACTGCTACACTGATGATACCCACCTCTACCGGTCATACCCACCAGAGGAAACCGCTGTTTTAGCCTAAATCTCATCATGCCTCACCGATATTACTAAATTGATGAAGAAACACCACCTACAGCTCAACCTGTCCAAATCTGAACTTCTTGTCATCGGACAACAACAAATCAAGATCCTTCTCTGATCAAAGAACTTGTGCTCACTAAGGTCATTACACACCAGCGAATTAGCAAAGCCACATGAAAAGGTGAAACATTTGGCCTACACCTTTTCCTATATACACCTGGTGCTACAGGAATAAAATACCCATATATTACCACGGGAGAAAAGAGGGGGAGAGACAAGAAGGAGAAACAATGGCGACTACATTCTCAAGTGATGATGACGTGTCTTTGTAAGCTTATTAAATTACAAAAAGACAAAGAAGAATCAAACTGTCTGGGTACATCCAATACTGACCTTGTGACAGGAGACTGGGGAGCTCCACACAATTCAGGATTCAGGAGCTCAAATTGTATCCTGAAGAATTCCGACAATACTTAAGAATGTCCCTCAGACGATTTCAAGAACTGCTCCATCAGCTTACTTCACGTTTGCAGAGGGAGAGGACAAATTACAGAGAACTGATTGATCCAGAGCAACAGCTTGCCACATGTCTGAGGTAAGATTTTTTATTAGGCCATAGATTTATATAGCGGTTCAACTGTGAATGTTTGCAAAATAAGCTACAAGGGCGAAAAAAATTGCAGTCGCTTCTTCACTCTGCGGAAGTTTGTAGCTGGTGCGGAAGATTGCATTGACTTTATGAGGTTTTAAAAAAAGCGAAAATTTTCCCTTTGCAAATTTATCCCTTTATGTAATGACCTTAACTCTGCCTTGAATCTGGGTGGCATGTTTGATGACCACATAATCTTTAAGGTTCATGTGGCCTTGATTATTCTGCTGTGCCAATTTGCCCTCTATTACTTCAGGATGATCAAACCCTACCTGACAGAGCACACAACACAGCTCCTGGGTCTAGTAATTAAAGGCACTGACAGCTTAAACTCTTTACTGGCAGGCCTCCCTGCAAGCACAGTCATCTGCAGATGATCCAGGATGCAGCAGCCCATCTGGTTTTCAGACAAACCCGAAACAGCACATGTCACTCTGCTGTTCATTTCACTCTGCGTCAAATATGAGACCCTCTTTTTGCCTACAAAGCTACAATTCAAACTGCTCCTGCCTCGTCCCTCATGGCTCTTCTTCTCTGATGTCCCTCGGTGGTGAAATGAATTACCCAACTGAATTGGATCCACACAGTCCCATTAAGACAAAGCTAAAGATTCATCTCTTAATGGCACACCTATGCACTTAGCTCAGCTCTTCTCCTCTATGGTCCCCAGTGGTAGAATGACTAATACAACAACTTTTATCTAAACAGTCCCTCTCTACTTTTGAGGAACATTTTGACCCTGCTCTTTCTGTACAACACCACTCTTGGTAGTTTGACACTTAATGGCGATGATGTATATTTAATAACATAATATTACCTGGTGCCGAAACCGCATGCCAAAACAGAAGCCATGCTATTCAGGATTTACATGGAAAAAGATATGGCTCTTTCCAAACAAACAGTTGATACTGAGTAAAAGATCAGAGTTTGAGTTATTCACATCATTACTGCACAGCAAGATATCTGAGTAATTTGACATCAGTTTGTCTGTGGTTGGAAAAGCAAGAAAAGGCAGGAGATATAAAAGACACAAACACAGAGAAAGAAGCAAAACCCAAGATGGCCCAAAGAAAGGAGCTGGTAGTCATCAGTTATAGGAATTGGCAAAATTACTCAGACACCACTATGCAGTTCTGTGTTTAAGGCTAAATCTGTTTGTTTTCAATAACACAGACAGCCCATCCTTTGTCAATGACAGCCGACGGAAGTGCCTTGTATTCAGTCCTAAATGCGTACAACAATGTGTTTGTTCAGAAGTCTTCTGGCTGACTTTTCAGCCATTTTTAAAGAGCTCTAAGAGTGCACCTGATTCACAGACAAAGCAGAACGTTTGCAGATGACAGCTACATCTTTTTCTCTGGAGAGTATCTGACAGAGCCCTGGGTACGTTTGCAGCCAATTCTTTCTCTCTCTCTGTCTTTATCCCTCTGTACCAACGGGAGGTAAAGGATTCTTCATGCTTCTCAGTCTCTTCTCTCAATTCCTCCCTCATCAGAATAGAAAGCAGTGAATTTGCAGTAAACTGAATCCCTGATGTTTCCAGGACATCAAAGAACCGTGCGTTGGCCTTTCTATTCTCATTGGACTCTCTTGTCTCTGTTTTTCCCTCAACTGTCTCTTCTCCCCCATGACTTTTTACCCCTCTCAGGCTCTCACCATTTCTGTCCCTCATTCCCTTCATCATCCCTTTCTCTTGCAGCACCAGAGGGTCTCTCTTCATCCCAAGCTGTCTCTCCTCATCTCTTTCCTCCCTCCTCACATCAATATCCCTCAATCTCTCCTCCTCCTGGTAAACAGAGTGACCCTTCAGTCTGCTGTCGCCTCTCTGCCTGCAGACTCTCCACCGTCTCCCTCTCACACTCCCTCTCCTGTGGGTAAACATGACCCATGCTTCGATCATCCTCTTGTCATTTTGTCATTATTGTGCCCCCTGAACTCTTCTCCATCTCTCTTAATGTCCCTCCTCCTCTCTCCCTCGCTCTGTCTCTCCCTCTCTCGTCCCTTTGCTCATCTTACTCCCCTCCTCTTGTGTCTCTGGTGATGACAAATACTTCTATCAGTCTTGAGCCATCTTTCAAGAAAGCCGCCTCTCCTTTTTGCTCCTTCAATCTTCTGTGTCATCTCTCTTTCTCTCTCAAGTTGAGCTGCCCCTCTCTGAACATCAATCTGCTCTCTCTGTCCTTATATTTCCCCTGGACAGAATGACCTACACGTCTACTCGACACATCCAAAACAAAACAGCCACCAAAACTTTACACCAACAGTTTGTGCTTTTTTAACCTCTAATGGGATGAATATGCTGCTGTAAAAGCTTCCACTCCTCTGGGAAGACTTTCCATTTTTGGAAGCTGGCTGCAAAGATTTTCTCCCATTCAGCCTCAGAAGGATTAGAGAGGTTGAGGCGGTGATGTTGGGCGGAGATTGGAGTTCAGGCTCCAATTAATCCCAAAGGTTTTTGATGAGGTAGAGCTCTGAGCAGGGTGAAAGCAAGAAACTTCCTGCACACACACGCAAAAATAAGCCTCATACTCCTCACTGCATGCACAGAGGTATTGAAATAATGTGAGAAAAGTGTTCCTGAAAATATCTCACCATGCCTCCACTTATGTTATCAAAACAAAAACTTTAAATTCAATGATGCAGATCTCTCTTTAAAGTGCAAGAACTATGGTAATCTATGAAGAGACATGCTGTGGATAACATTTTAGTATGATTGTGGTCATAACTCTGTAAATCCCATTTACTCTGCTTGTTTTGCAGCACAATAAAGATTATAGAACTAATAAGACAATCAGTACTTAAACTGATGAAGTGAATAAATCCAGCGTAGTTTGATTTAGCCAGATAAACTGATCTCCACACATTCATGCTGTGGGCCATCAAGGGATAGTTCAGTTGTAAATGCTGTGACTTCCTTAGAAGTGGTTGGTGTATTACCCAAAGGGGATGATAATTGGTTTGGTGAGTGTCGCTACCCGATCTGTCCTGGAAACCCAATTTGTACTGCACATGTGCGAAACATACGTTACTTCTTTTCCTCGTACGTCAATGTATTCTATGGCAGTCCGTTGTACTATTGCTACCTACCCGATCCGTAATGCTTGAGTGCAAATTTTCGTCACCTTAAAAGGATTTTCTGGCGTAAAATTAATTTAGGGTCAAACACACCATAACGCCGAGTTAGACACCCTCTCGAGAGATGAATGTTGCTGCTTGCTTCTCTGTTTATACCAACTTTAGTAACGACTGCATGATAGCAATATACAGAGGTCTGAGGAGCCATAAACATACCACAACCAAAATGCCACTCTATAGCCACAAATAATGCTCAGAAAAACCTAACTTCATCAACAGTACATATAGGGTCCTAGCCAGATAGATTAGATTAGATAGATTATACTGTATTGTCCCACTCAGGGAAATTCATTTTTCAGACTGTACATATAGACACATCAAATAGACAAGATAGGTCAAAGACAGCACATTATGAGACAGTCAGACATCCCCACCACCCAACCAGATAACAACAATGGACAAGAGACATCAGAGCAACCACACCATCAACAATGGACAGTCATTCAGGGTGGTCTGCTGTTCAGGGCAGCAATTGCTGAGGGGACAATGGCTTTTCCCAAAGCATGCTTTATTCCACTTGTATGTCCTGTTTCTTACCACAGAGGGTAGAAGGGGGAAGTGGCGGTAAAGAGGGTGTGTGGGGTCCTTTTCAATGCGGATGATGGCCAGGTTACTGCATCCCGAGAGGCACTAACCATCAAACCTCTTTTTAGCTAAACAGAGACTAAACACTACTCACCTACTCCCTTCCAGCAGCCGCTTGTTTGTAGCGAGACCTCAGGTCAGTTCATCATCGACTGCAGTGGGGTGATGCAGCTCAAGGAAGAACATTTATGATCTGTTGATGAAGTTAGGTGCTGTTCTGAATATTATTTGTGGCTGTAGAGCGGCGTTTTGGTTGAGGTTTGTTTGTGTCTCCTTAGACCGCCATGTATTGCTAATGTATGGTTGTTACTAAAGTTGGTATAACTAGAGAAGCAAGAAGACGGCAAAATTCATCTCTTGAGGGGGTGTCTAACTCTGTGTTACGGTGTGTGTGACCCTAAATTAAAATTTACACCAGAACATCGCTTTAAGAACTTTATGTAAAATACCAATCAATTTCAGAAACAAGCTGGCGTTGTAACAGGCTAGCTAGCTGGAGGCTCCAGAGGTAATGCCAAGGCATTTGCCAGAGCTCCTGCCCAGCATGGTGGGACCTTGTAGGCAATAGAGAACGCCGCCACACGGTCAAAATTATAGTTCTCTGACTTTTCAAAGTATCAAGGGGGGATTTATTTCATTTATTTTATAAATTGAATTAATTAACAAGAAGCCTACATATTATGAACAATGAATTTCAGTGTTTTTATACAGTTTCAATTTCAACAATAAAATACTCACATTCATTCAACCCTTTTCTTACTTCTTTGCAATTTTACAATCAAGCTAGTAGTAGGAACCTTTAATCATAAAACTGGGCACCATTCTTTTCTTTCTGGTGCTCTGTTTTAGTCGGGGGAAGCACTCTGTTCTGGAGAAAAGTATGTAGCTGATGATAAACTGAAGTGTCCGTTCTGAATTTAGCAAGCTCGCTGAAGCTGTAGAACAGGTGTCGAAGCTGTCGCAAACCATGAGAGGCAAAGAATTGCTGAGCTGTCGCAAAGATGGCTAGTAGATGAAGTGATGTACGTTTCGCACATGCGCGGTACAAATCAGGTTCCCAGGACGGATTAAGTAGCTACAGCGAGAAACTGGCCGAAAAGCTTAAAAACCCTAACGTAGTAATGGTGTTATCATATCTCCACGCCACATTTTGTTTACTCTAAAAGCAGACTGAACCTTGAGAGAATTCACAAACTTTCCAGTCTGTTGAGCCAGAACTCCAGCTTTATGTGTGGAGTGCTGTGATCACTACATTGGTGCACACCACATAGACGGAACCAAACTATTGAATCTGTCATCACATGTCTTGATGTGTGGGGTCTCTGTTAAGATTTTAAAAATACTTTGGTGGATGCCAGGCTTTACCCAGTAGTGCAAGTCTGTAAACTGAGGGAACATGCCCACGATTGCAGAGACCTTCTGCTGTCAAGTGTAAGACTTCGTACTGAGAGTATTTCTGAATCAGAGGATAATCCATGATGCACATGATTTGACTATCTTATCAAAATACACAGTGTTATTTGCAGAGTGGAAAAGACTGAGCTTAAATATCAAACTCTGCAGCCATTACTGTGGCTGAAGGGTGATCTAACCATGTGTTACTTTAAAAATTTCCTAACTAATTTGCAAAAATGTCAAAATGCCCAAGAAATCAGTGCACTGGGCAAAAGTCAAAGTGTCTCATGATGGACCTGCACAGCTGATCAGTGTGCTGCAGGCTGAAGAACTACAAAACTAATGGGCTTTTAGGTATAAAGGTAAATCACTGAAAAATGTCTAAATAGTGCACACTCACACTAACATAAGTGTGTGGGTAAGAATTTCCTCAAAGCAGCTAAATTACATATTGAGCCGACTCTGACTCTGTCTGCAGCAGTCGAGAGCCAAACTTTCCTTTTTGTTCTGTAGCTGATTTCTCAACAAAGGGGCTGAGCTGACCTGCATCTCCTGTGGGTAATACACTTACTGTTGACAGGTACCTCATATAACCCCACTAAAGAAAGAACTGTCACTGTCAGGGACAGTTTCTGCAGTTTTTAAGTCTCCACTCTCAAAAAAGGGAGCCTGTTTTTGTACTTTAGAGGTAGAATTGCTTGAACGTGTGATAAACAACAAGTCCAATAAGACATGAGAAGATATTTAAAGTCCAGTTTTTTTAAATGTTGGCAAAAGTGATATTTTCTCCAACTAAATGACAAGAGAAATTAAAGGACATTTTTCAGCTATGGCAGATAAAATTATCCCTTTAAAGGCTCATTTATGCTCGCCATACATATTAAAATGTACACGTATGTTTTAAACGATGGTTCCCTTACTGCCCACATACTTCCATGCGTCCTTTATGTTGGCATTGATGTTAACTATTACATCCACCAGGGGGCAGGCTGGAGACAAAAGTGTCTGACAACAACAAACAAAAAGAAACATGGCAACTGTGGAGGAGCTAGTGATGATGTACATTTTGCATAGGAGAGAGAAACGGAGGCAACATTGGAGGAGGTGGTGGTCACTAAAGGCCACTAAATGTCTGGGAGGACGGAGAATTCTTTTCTCTAGTAATACCGATGAGAGTAATTGACGACAATCCTAAAAAAGCCCTGCCATTGTCTTCTTCGCTTCTCTCTTGAGATTCGTATCGGGTAGTGACAGCAGCAACACTGCCCCCACAATTTCCAGCGATACTGCTCTGTCTGGCCTGTATCCGTAAACTTCAAGGATATGTGCAGTGCTACCCAATCCATCCCAGAAACCTGATTTGTACTGTGCATGTGCGAAACGTACGTCCCCTCCTTTTCTTGGTATTTCAATGTGTTTTTACGGCAGTGAGTCGCTACCTTCTTGATACATACTGGGCAAGAGCAAATTTACTTCACCTTCAAAAATTTTATTTAAACTACCGATCGATTTCAGAAACCAGCTGGCATTGTAACAGGCTAGCTAGCTGGAGGCTCCAGAGGTAATGCCAAGGCATTTGCCAGAGCTCCTGCCCAGCATTGTGAGAGCTTATGGGCCACAGAGAGCGCTGCCACCCGCACAAAACTGTGGTTCTCTTACTTTTCACAGTATCAAGGGGGGATGCTCTGGAGGTGTGTGACCACCCATTGTGCACTCTTCCCGGGCCACAGAGAGCGCCACCACCCTGTCAAATTCATGGTTCTCTGAAATAAATAAATTTTTTAT